CTAAGGATAATTTGACCAAAAGGCCGTCCAAAATCATACATAGTGCTTTGAAAGAAAATGTAGATTGCTTGAGCCACATGTCTGTTAAAATTGTTCTGAAGCTATTTTCTTGTGGCACTATAAATTAATTACTATTTAACTGGGAATAAGCTACAATAAAAGATAAAAATACGTTTATTGACGTTTCAATTTCCACTTCGGAAATCGTTCTCAAAATACAAACAGTAAATTAAACAAATGTTGTTTTGTGTTACATAGTGAAAAATTCTTCTAATAATTATTAATTACCAATACTGAAAGAGGAAGTTATTAATAAGAAAATACCAGTATTAGTAAGTCAGTAACATTATAGAGGATACATCATTTATGTTTTTTAAATAACGTAACATATAAAATCAGAATTTTGATGTTTGTTGAAGGTAAACTAAATTCACGAACAAATACTCACAATGTCAGGATAGTATTATGAGGTTTTTTTCCTGGTTTTTCCCTCATAATTTACTATGGAATCACTAACAGGAGAATTTTACTGTCATCATGTCATGTGTTTGTCTTTTTAAAGACGAATTACATGCTATGATTTTTTTCTGACGGATATTCTCAAGTTAAAGTTGATTTCATATAATCGAATGAACTATCTTATCAGTAAAGTCGTCCCAGGAGCGCAACTCAACAATATTGGCAATATCATTTTAAAGTCGTCTACGTTAAAATGCATAATGTTTGTCTGAATTGTCAATATAAATGAGTCAGATAAAATTAAATTATTAGAAGAATTTTTCACTATGTAACAAAACACAAAATTTGTTTAATTTACTGTTTGTATTTTGAGATCGATTTCCGAAGTGGAAGATGAAACGTCGATAAACGTATTTTTATCTTTAATTGTGGTTTATTCCCAGTTAAATAGTAATTAATGTCTGTTAAAGACGTTAATTAAATACGAAATCAAATATACAGTGAACGGCGAATGGCTCAACCGAAACTGCTCAAAAGTAAAGAAGAAACTATTGCTGCGGTAAATATTATGAATATCAAAACACTTAAAGACGACAATTTTATATTTGCGGTTGAACTAAGTTCTAATATTATCATCTTCTCGTGTAACATTTACATGCGTTTTCTGTGCGGCAGTGAAACGATTTATATGGACGGTACATTTAGTTACTGTGCTCGATATTTCAAGCAATTTTTTACCATACATGTATTTATCAATGGACATTATATACCATTGTGTTATTGTTTACTTCCCGACAAATCGGAACAAACCTATATAAAACTATTTAATGTTTTGTAACGCAAATGTGAAGTAATTGGTCTAAAATTCAATCCAAAAATCATTTTCTCCGATTTTGAAATTACTATCCACAATGCTGCCCGTTTTGAATTTCCAAATGTGCACATTAAAGGGTGCCGTTTTTATCTTATGCAAGCTTGGTATCGTAATATCGGTGGTTGTGGCTTAATTCGGGAATATAAATTATATATATATATATATATATATATATATTATATATATATATATATATATAATTATATATTTATATATATATATATATATAATTATATATTTATATATAATTTATAATAATAATAATAATATAAATGGCTGAAATATATTTTATGGCTGCCATTTTTACCTCCCTCAGAAGTCGAAGAATCTTTCATATATGATTTTATGGCTATTCAACCAAAGGATTCAAAAATTGAAAAGTTCTCCGACTACTTATTGGACAACTACATTGGCGACCACGCAACATTTCCGTCGGAGATGTGGGCTGCGATGAGTGAGAGTTTACAATTAACAACTAATGCTTGTGAATCGTTCCACTCGCGTTTTAATGATAATTTTTACCATGCTTATCCAAATATTTTCCATTTTATTGATGTTTTAAAAAATTTTCAAACTGAAACTTATATTAAAATTAATAGTGTCTGTAATAGTGAGAGTAAGAGACTTAAAGATCCAAAGAGTAGAAAAAAAATTATGTTCGTTAGAAATAGGATACATGAGTATCAAACTAACTGTATCGATCGATTCCATTTCGTAAAATGTATGTCATATTTATTTCAAAGTGACAAATAAACCTTATCAGGCTTACTCTCTAGAATTTTATTACCTGATTTTCCATTTACATTTCAGTTACACCCAGCGTCCAAATAATGTATGCAGAAACAGGTAATTTTATTTTTCAGTGTCGAATTTTAAATTTAGCGTCCAAATCATGCACGCACAAATGTACAACGACCCTTTGTTTGATTTCTTTGTGGAATTGCATGAGTTACATCTGTGATGCCGCAAATTTCGCGAATTCGGCATCTGCAGATGCTGAAGATACTGGAATCTTTGGACTGGTTCTATATGTTTGTTATAGATACGAATATTAATGTCGACATTTGGTGCACGTGTAACGCCATTACTTTTGTTTTATTTGTGTTTATATTTAGTCCCAAGCTATCTCCATCTCTGGTTATGACATTCAAAAGTCGTTGTAAACCCTCAGCAATGTCCGCAATCATGATGGTGTCGTCTGCGTATCTTAAGTTTACGTATTTTCCGTTGCTCTTTATTCCTTCTTCAATATTTTCGAGGGCATTTTGAACTATCTTTTTGGAATATATATTAAATAACAGTGAAGAGAGTACAGAACCCTGACGAACTCTTCTTCTTATTGGCAATTCTGCTGTCAGACGATTGTCTATTTTGATAAATGCCATTTGATCCCAATATAGTTTTTTAATAAGTGCTTCAGTGTTATGATCTATCCATGTTGTGTTAGGGTTTCTATGAGTTCTGTGTTTTACTTGACCAAACGCTTTTTCGTAGTCGATAAAACAAAGAAACACGTCTTTTCGCTGATCTCGGCATTTTTGTAGTAATATTTGGAGGCCAAATAATGGATCCCTTGTACCAAGCCCCATGCGAAATCCAAATTGATTGTTGCTCAGGTTTCTTTCGCATTTTCTGTATATTCGTTGATGTACAATTTTGAGTAAAATTTTCAGAAAATGGCTCATTAAGCTAATTAATCTGAACCGTAAGCATTTATTTACTTAATTTTTCTTGGGTATAGATATAAATGTCGATCTAAGCCAGCTTTCTTGGAGGATTCCAGTGGTATATATTTTATTAAATAATATTGTTAACGTCTAAAGATTTTTTTCATTGGTAAGCTTTATCATCTCTACGTATATTTCATCTGGACCTGAGGCTTTTCGTGACTTTGCCATATTGATTGTATTTGTAACTTCCGATGTTAATATATCAAGTATTGTTTTAAGTATCATCTACTAAATTGTTGTAGTGATTTTTTTCTTTATATTTGTGACTTCTTAACCTTTTAGTATGCATTAAAGTAGTCATGCTTTTTTAGTAAATCTCCCAGTTCCTCACACTTGCTGCTCATCCATTCTTCTTTGGTTTTCCTAATTTTGTTTCGAATGATTCTCTGGGTTTTTTTTTATATTTTTCTTCATTGCGATTTTTGTAAGATCTCCTTATGTCCATCAGTTCTAGGACTTCTTCTGTCATCCATATATTCTTTGTTTTTCTGAAGGTGTGCCAAATACTTTCTATTGTTTCATCTGCTTGTGCGGGTGCTTTACTGAACTTTTCTTTGGATGTATCATTGAGTGTTTTCTCTATTTCTGCCTGTAATAATGGATCTTTAAGTTTTTTGAGGCTAGGTTTTATCTTCTCTCTGTATTTGATTTTCTTTAGTTTAACAGTTAAGTTAAGTTAAGTTACAGCAAGTTACCTAAGTTACAACAGGATTGTGGTCGGAACCAATGTTGTAGATACTAGCGTTAGTATTTCTGTCAGAATATATATTAGGGACTGTAAATCTTATACACTAAAACGCTAAGCCCTTTTCTTGTCCACCACTTTACTCAAAAACCATATTAGATAATTAAAATATTTTTTTGGAATATTATTAGTATTACGTATGAGATTGTCGAGATATACTTTTGGTACAAAAATTCACTTCCGGTTTTGAGATGACCGGAAGTTAAAATTTACTTTAAGTTTTAGACCCCAAAATGTATATATGGATCGAAAGGTCTCGTCGAGACGAATCTAAATATGTACTTCCGGTTGCGATCCGACACCGGAAGTGATCCGATTTCATTTATATTAAAAAGTAAAAAGTAAAAGTTTAGATAACTCCCGGTGCCAATCAAAAGTTTTCAGAAAATGGAGACATTGTAACAAAAAACATTGTTTTCGACGAAATATTTCGTGATATTTAATACACTTTTTACTTGCATTATTATTGATAAATGTTATGTATATTCTTGCTTATATTGTTTGTATTGATCTCTTAATTTTTCTCGCAAAATAAAAATTTCATTTAAAAAACTCGATGTCGAGTTGGTCCGCTAGTAGTGTACTATTCTTAAATAACCATGTAATATAAACTCTTGAGATCTAATTTTCGCGCCCAAGTAAATTTTTATAATCTTTGTACATGTAATGTTTTTTTTATATATGGTTATATAAGTTGAAAGCAAAAATACATATTTATACAAAATATAATGTCATAAAGTTTTTGAGATGAATTGTACTACAAATGCACTATTTACAACAACTGTCAAACACGATATTTATATCTGATTGCAGAGAAACATAATATAATTCCGAATATATTTGTATTGATTATATCCACTGTAATTTTAAATAATATTCGAAATTTCTACTGTTTCGTTCAACATTTCCGCTGTGATTTTGCACACTATTTCTGGTTAATCACTAATCCACTGGCAATTGTATTGTTGCAATAATTAAATCAGTGGGTTTTGCTTATCGGACCGTTTTGGCGATGATAATGTCACTTGCGTTTGTGCCAAGCATTGTTGTATACATTATTTTTAGCTTCACTTCAAATTCCATTTCCAATTTGTCGTGTGAATGGATCGTTGATTGAAGATTCAATGTGGCCCTTATTACGCAAACTTCTTTATTTGTTAATCATATATTTTAACGAAACAACTTAGTTTACCTTGTACTGTTTTTATACAGTGATTTAAAGCTTTAAAACTAAAACTTTTCAAAGATAGTTGGATCACTTTTACAGTAATGACATTTTCATGATCTGAAAATGTTAATAATTTTACTTCGGATAAACACTCAATTAATACCTTTAAACTTTGTATCCAAATCCAAATATTCAAGATAGAAAGATATAAGCTATTTAATGAATACTAATATATTTTTAATTCCAAACTTTGTTATGATATGATAACTCTTATGCACATTATTTAAGAAGATTTAATTGGTTCATGCGAAGTTATAAACTGTCAAGGTAAAATTCCGACAACTGCAGGCAACAGTTGCAACTGCCGTCCACGCAGATACCTTAGAGGTCACCGCTGTCATAATATTCGTGTCCCTGTAACGAAATATTTTGCCTACCACATAGGGTTTTATTATGGGGGTTAAAAATTGGGGACAGAAATTATTGGGGTGGGGATAAGGCAAGCAAAATAAATGAAACTTATGCGAACGGCACTCAGGGTTTATTTGGAGTAGCTGGGTCATGTCTGAGTGAACACTTACATACGTCGCACTTACATAAGTCTTCTGGACAAACGGACAAAGCAAAACACAAGAAAGACCTCTAGCAATTTAAAATGGACGGCGTTTTAAGGTGCCAAATTATAACCATTACAACAACTAGTTATAACTATTGAAATGATTATTAGATATAGAAAATATGTTTTTAAATAAATCTCAAAAAAGGGGTTAGAGAGTTAGTTAAGAAATATAAACAAAATGGTTTGGAAAAAAAAATCAAACATTTATTACTGTCTCACTACAAAGAGTTACAAAAATAGACAATACAAAAATACGATTTAATAGTCACAAAAGTAAATACAAAAATAACAAAGAGAAACCCTATGTCCTAGCCGTTTACAAACTCTAGGAGTTGGAGATGCTACAAAAACTTACAAATGTTACTGCATGGAGGTAAATCTTCTTTAAAAACTAAACAAACTAATGTCAAAAAATAAAAGCTCTGATATGTTAACCTTAAATTTTAAATCTAAGAACAAATAAATTGACAGCTAAGGTCACACCTCAAAATTTAAAATTTTAAATATTACAATTTTTAACATGCATGAAAGCAATAATTATTATTATTAAAACAAAGATGTCTATCGTTACTTTAAAATTAAACACAAAAGTTACCTGGATTGCACTGGGGTTTTACACAAAAAATCTGGGGTGGAACTAGACTTCACTGGAATTTCTGGGGGTAGAACTGGGCTTCATTGGAATTTCCGAGTGTTACTCTCTTACAGGCTTACACTTTCTGTGTAACGAACACACAAACAAATTCCTCTATAAACTACCAAAACGCCTGGGATGACAACCAGGGAGAAACAAAACTGGAATGAAAACAACGATTCCTAAAAACCTCACTTAAAACTGTAACTATTAGCTGAACTGCTACTATACACTACATATTTTCCATGAAAAGGGACGAAAAAAAAATTACAAATTTGACGAACAATTTGTACCCACTCTGGAATCAACTGCCTCTAGCAGCAACCTCAGTGATAAGGCTGTAATTATCTTCAAAATTCATTCGCTTAACTTCACATAAATAAAACACTTTATTTATGGGGAGCTAAAACGCAAAATATCCTAAAAGAGGCTTCTTTAAAGAACGCCGACAAAATACGCGTCTGTGAACTATAAATAAACTATAAATTTGTTTATAATAACTCCAAATTTACAAATGCTACACCCCAAAAGCTCGACTAATGACTTTTAATTGATTTCGCATAAAAATAACATAAAACTCCATGAGACGAGGTTCACCCTTTTTTTCAAGTAGCTACAGTATCATCGCTGTCATAATATTTGTCTTTAACTACCTCGGAAACCACAAGTAATGACTTTTAACTTATTAAAAAAAAAATAACATAAAACTCTAGGAGACGAGGTCCACTCTCGTCACCAGGTGGCACAAAGTGTATTGTTGTATCATCATATTTATATTCAGCGACCTCGAAAACCCGCGAGTAATAAAATTAAACTCATTCCCTTTGATATATATTTTTTTTCGGTTTCTTTCTGTAGTTGGAAATTTTTCATTTTCAAATATATACATATTTATAAATACTTTAGTTACTTGTTCATAGAGCTCCTGTAAAACTAATTATTTTTAAGGTACACTTTAAAAAGTCACGTATAATAAATCATCATCATTAGCCATTTTGCGTCCACTGCTGAACATAGGCCTCCCGTAAATAATTCCATTGCATCCGATCTTGAGCAACTTGAATCCAGTTAGACTACGATAAGCATCGTGTCTAGGCCTCCACTATAAAATTTTCTTTGTCCATCTTCCATCTCTGACCCTAGCAACATGTACTGCCCAGTTCCATTTCAGGGTTGTAATTCTTTCAACTGCGTCCGTCACACCAGTTTTTCTCCTTACTATCTAACTCTATACTCTGACCCTGAGTGATACGCCCAACATTGACCTCCCCATCGCTCTCTGTGCCACTTGTATCTTATTAATTACTTTTCTGGTAAGTGTCAATGTTTCTGCTCCATATGTCAGAACTGGAAGTACACACTGATCAAAAACTTTTCTCTTCAAGCACATGGGAATAGCTGATTTAAAGACTTCCCTTAGTTTTCCGTAAGCTGCCTATGCCAGTCCTATTCTCCTTTTTAACTCTGTTGTTTGATTGTCTCTTCCCAATTTAATCTCGTGGCCCAGATACTTATAGGAATACACTTGTTCAATTTGCGTGCCATTAGTGGAAATGTTTTTTGCCAGTACCAGGTTGGTCATGTATTGTGTTTTGAAAAAATTAATTTTAAGGCCAACTCGTGCACAAGAGCTCTGAAGGTCTTGAAGAAGTTGGCATGCATGATCTACCTGATCTGCAATAAGGACTATGTCGTCTGCAAACCTCAAGTTGTTCAAAAATTCCCATTTATATTTAATCCAATATTTTCCCAATTATTTTTTCTCATAGCACTCTGTAATAGGGCGGTGAATAGTTTAGGAGAGATAGTGTCTCCTTGCCTAATACCTTTCTCCAAGGGAAATGTGTCTGTGTCACCATAGTACATTTTTACAGCAGCTGTTGCGCTATCATATATATTTCGAAGAAGAGTTGTGTACCTATGGTCAATACTGCACTCTGTAAGACCTCTTAACATGGAGCTATGCTGGACTGAGTCAAATGCTTTCTCAAAGTCTACAAATATTAATATCAATGGCTTGTTGTATTCTATAACTTTCTCTATCAAGGATTTTATTACTTGTAGGTGGTCATTTGTTCCAAAGCCACTCCTAAATCCGGCCTGCTCTAGAAGTTAATGAAAATCTAGCTTAGGTCCTAGTCTGTTAGTAATTATTCTCATAAAGAGTTTATATAAATGAGATAATAAGTTGATAGGTTTGTAGTTGCCAATTTCTGTTACATCTCCTTTTTTATGCAATATTATCATAATGGCATTATTCCATTTTTCTGGCGTATTTCCTTCAAAGAGGCAGGCATTATAAAGGGTTTTTAAAGCCTTTATGACGCATTCGCCTCCTAGTTTTATCATTTCACTTACAATGCCATCTTCTCCAGGTGTTTTGTTGTTCTTCATACCTTTTAATGCTGACTTAATTTTCTCTTCGGTTATATCTGGAAGTTCCTCTGACCCTTGATTTAGTATTGCTGGAATTTCAACTTCGGGAATGTGATCATCTCGACTATATAATGTTCTATAGTACTCTTCGATGATTTTTAGTATCTCTTGTTGTTCATGTATGACATGTCCTTAATTATTTTTTTAACTTATAAATATTCCTCATTCCTGTTTTCAACTTTCGTTTTAGAACTTTTAGGCTTTTGTTTTGTTCTACGGTATCAGTTATTTCCTTAGTGTTAAAGTTCCTTATGTCTTTCCTAATGGCTTTTGAAATTGTGTTTTGTTTTAAATTCCTTAGCTCTGCAATGTTCGTTGTATGCTTTTCTTTCATTTCCCTTCTTTTTTGCATTAGGTTTCTTGTGTCTTCTGTGAGTTTTTCATTTTTGTTGAGTGCTTGGCTTGGCACTTCTTCTGTAACTTCTTCAGGGCTTCTACCAATTTTTCGTTAAGCTGTTCAATACTGGTTTCATCTTGCAGGTCTTTCTGTAGATTACTCTCTATTTCTTCTGGTATGCCCTGGTGTTAGTAATCGCAGTGAATGTAACATTATTAGTCCTTGTTACCATATGTCTTCTTTCTTTTTGTATGTTTAAGACTATCTTCGCCCTAACCATTCTATGGTCACTTCCAGTTGAAAATTGATCTAATACAGTTACGTCTTGAACAGCGTCTTTTTTGTTAGTAAATATAAAATCAATTTCGTTCTTGTTTAAACCATTTGGTGATTGCCAAGTCCACTTTCTTTGGTCGCTTTTTTTAAAGTATAATAAATATGGGTACAAAAAAAATTCATTTGGCCACAAAAAAAAAAACTCACCGCGTTAGTCACGTTGGTGGCCACAGGGCAGAAAATGTGTCGGTTGAACTTTTGCCCCAAATGAAACGTCAAATTTTTCTTGACAAGGAATTTTTGGATTTGGTCCCAAAAGAGTATCAATCACCGACAATCGAAAGTCTTACAATGATATTTTTATATTAGAATTATTATAGAAATAATATGCATTATTGCTCAGCATAATTTTAAAAAAATGTATGCCTACTTTTTTGTATCACCTCATAGTTTTGTGTTGGCAACTATAATTTAACATCTGGTGGCCCAAGGCAATTCCACCTGTGTTTTTTGTTATATTCAGCGACCAAATATGGCTCTTCTTTATCAATTTATTTTCTAGATATTGTTGTAATCATTTCGTAACAAAATTCTGAAGAGATCAATAAAATATCTCGCTGATCGTTCCATATACACACATATCCCTTTATTATTGTAAGCACTCACCAGTTCAATTTGTTTTAGTTTTCGAGAAACAACTTCGTGTGGATTTTCCGGTCTTCCTGTTCTCAATGTTCTTATAAGATAAGGTATCACCGAAAGTAGTTTTTTGCACAATGGAACACTATCATAAAAATTATCCATATATAAGGAGTGACCAACATTTAGTTTCGAATCCATCAAATTTAGCACTACTTTCTCCGTATTATTACGTCCCTTAACTACGGGGTTACTAGCTCCACTATAAATTAATATACGTTAAATTATCCCGGTATATTTTGCCAAAGTATACAGTTTGACACCATACTTGTGTCGTTTGTCCTTTAGAAATTGACAAAATTTAAGTGTTCGTATCCATAAAATCATAGGTTTATCCAGGGTTAATTTTCTTTCTCGATAATAGAGACTCTCCATTTTATTATTAAAAAAATCTAACAATGGAGATACCTTGGCAAGTCTGGACTGGTTATTGTCACTATTAGTGTTAAAATTAAGGCACGCAAAATTAACATAAAGCGATTTCGCCTTATATATTGTCCAAACACTGAAATGCTAAAAAAATGATTTTTTTCAATAATCATTCATACGATTAATTTTATGGTTCCCATGTGAAACAACAAATCAAGAAAAATTTTAAATTCTTCTACAGTTATATCCTTCCAAGCCGCAATTCTACTTTTTTCAGAAATGCTTTGAGAAAAGAAATCAACGGCATATAAATTGCTATTTTGAACAATCAGGTCATAGAATAATATTCACATGCCAATAAATTTAAGTAATCAATAGGATTGCTGACAGCCACAATAATTTTCAATCCTGGTATTGTTGTAAATGGTAAGGAGTTTGAACCTCTGAAGATTATTCAATAACATTTTGAGACTCACCATCAACATCACTATCTTCAGATTCTTCTTGTAAATTAGGATCATCTATGCGATTATCTTCATCACAATATAAATCCTCGTCACTTCGTGTCACTGTCGTCAAGTGAGTTTTCTAATATGTGCAATAATTCATCATCTGAGATTGTTAGCAATTAATATTCTTCTTCTTCTTCTAGTTCCTATCCGTTTCGGATGTTGGAAATCATATTGGCAATCATAACATTGCTCGCTGCGGCTCGAAACAGCTCCGTTGAGGTTTTCTTAAACCATGTTCTTAAATTCCGCAGCCATGATATTCTCCTTCTACCGGTCCTCGCTTATCTTTGACTTTACCTTGATCCTTTATTTGATCGTAAACACAATCTCTGGTTCTTTCTTCATTTTTCCTAGAACTTCCTTGTTCGTGATCCTTGCTGTCCATGATAATCTCAGCATTCTTCTATAAAGCCACATCTCAAATGCTTCAAGTTTTTTAATAGTGGCGTCTGTAAGCGTCCATGCCTCCGCCCCGTACAACAACACAGAGAAAACATAGCATCTCAAATGTCTCATTTTTGTATCAATTAATATTAATTAACTAAATCTATTTTTCAGGTTTTTCTTACTATTGGCAAAAAAATAAAAAAATAACGGAAAACTCGGTTGATCTACTGCATTTGATGGTATGGTGAAAACTAATTTATAGCATCTTTTAGTTTTTAAATTTTCTCCATTTATAATATCGCAAACTACCCGATATATTCACCCTTTCTCAACCCTTATAGCGCTGTATCATCACTTACGTTAATTGGCCATGGTCTACGCATTGCATGTTATCATAGGATTTGATTAATCAGACCGTATTAGCGAAAATGCCATATGCGTAAGCAATTTAAAAGGGTAGAGGGTTGTGAACATTGTTTGCGGGCAAATAGATATCTGAACTAATTTACAAGCTTTTGTTAATGTGAAGAGATTTTGATGACTGCTCGTATTATCTAAGTGGGCGATATTTATTTAATTAATTTTTTAAAATTATAAAAAGTAGATAGAAAAGCAATAGTTTTTGCATTGGTAACTTAATTTATCCATTAAGCAACAGAACATTATTTTTTTCTTTCTCTTTCGTTTCATTCCGGGGTAAGTATATGTTGCTTATTCTATATTCTTAGTGTTTGTTTAGTTTTTTGATTAAGTCTCTTGACTGTATTATTAGAAAGATTTGTATATCTTAAATAGAGGCACCGAATATACCTTTATTAATGTTTGTAGCCAAACAGTCATAGATATCACGCTATCAACAGCTGAAATATGGAATAAAATTCAGAACTGGCAAGTATCGGAGGATATCTCTATGTCTGACCACCGCTGGCTAACCTATAATATTAGTCTGGAAAAAAGCCTTATCTAATCGTGCGAACCTAAGAGGATGTATGTAGAATTCTACAACCGGCTCTTAGAAGATGCTCTGCGTAATAAAAAGGCCTCAACTTTAGGAACTAATACAGAATTGGAAAGGTGTACGGTATCTATCCAAAACAAAATAAGCTATTCTTTTAAAAAATCCTGTCCAATAAGGATGGTCCAGGAAAGTCGCAAAACCAACTCTTGGTGGTGCACTGAATTGAAAGACCTTAGGAAGATAAAAAGAACAGGTTTTAATAGAGCAAAATGCACCAAACCCAAAGAGGATTGGGATTTTTATCAAGCAAATCTCAGAGAGTTTAAAAAAGTTTGCAGACAAAGACAAAGAGCTGCTTGGAGAATCTTCTGTGGGGTGATCGAGGATATCCCGCAGGCCTCCATGCTACAAAAAGCAATCTCAAATGACCCACATTGGCATGTCGGCATATTACCGAAGGAAGATGGAAATAAAACTTCCAACCTTTGCGAAAGTGCTGAGGTCCTGACGAAAACACACTTTCCCGGTTCTAGTGTCCGTGTCTAGCACCGAACTGGATGGAAGAAGCAATCATACCCTCAATAAACGACTGGCATCTCACCACAACAATGATTAATGAGGTAAAGGCAAAAATGGGCCATATTGTGCTTTAAAGTTTTCAAATCACCAGGGCCTGATGGCATATATCCAGCAATACTACGGTGGGGACTGGATATCCTTCTACCGCACCTCGAGGAAATATTCAGAGCCCCTCTGGCTCTGAAATATATTCCTAGTAAGTGGAGAGAGGTGCGTGTGGTCTTCATACTAAAACCAGGTAGGATGGACTACACTCTACCAAAGGCTGTCCGACCAATTAGCCTAACATTATTTCTGTTGAAAACGAAGGAAAGGCTATGCGAGAGTTACATAAGGGATGAAGTTCTGGTCCATAACCCCCTTAACCCAAATCAGCGTGCATATACTTCGGGAAGATCTACCGATTCTACACCGCATCATGTAGTGGGAATAATTGAAAGATCGCTAGATAATAAAGAATCCACCCTAGGTATATTCACAGACATTAAGGGAGCGTTTGATAAAACCACATTGGTATGTATGGTATCTCCATAGCCGCAAAAGGGATAACCCAAAAAGGTATAGCAGAGAAAACTATAATGATTTTCACAGATAGCAGACAAGCGCTACTAGCCTTGAATTGTCTCCGGAGGCGTGTCAGGCAGAAGTTGACAGCCGTGCCGGACGCATTTAGAAATTCGGAGAATTACTTGGAAATTCCAAGTGTGGGCAAATCCGAATTTCTAATTGACTCGATGCAGGGAAATTCCACTTTTGCTACATAAAACAAAGGATTTGTTTTATATAAAAGCAGATGGAATTTCTCTCATCGGTCAGTCGAGCTTGCCTCTTCTACTGTTCACCTAGTCGGTGCTATTATTGTTCCGACTAAGCTATTGTTTTATTTCTGATTTCCTGCATACCATTTCTTTTATTTCAGCATTATTGTATATTCAGACCTTGTCAGGTTAGAATAATACATATTTGTTCATGTACTGATTGGTTGCTATTTTATTTTATTTGATTATTTTGATTGTTTATTTTCTTGTATTTTTATCTAAGCTGTTCTTCCGTAAGTTAAGAACACTTAGAAATATTTATCTTGCCTTTTTTCCTATTTTATATATTTGATTTTGTGCTTTGTATCTAAGTAGTTCTTTTCGATAAGTCAAAGAACACTTAGAAATATTTTCATATCGCATTATTATTTCTGATATTTTATCTAAGATATGTTCTTCCGTAAGTTAAGAAAATACTTATATATTTGTCTATTTCATTTTCCATTTCATGCTAAGTTGTTTCTTCCGTAAGTCAAGAAATGCTTAGCAATATTTTCACATCTTTTCTGTATTTGATTTTCTTGTTTTCTATTATAAGTTGTTTCTTCCGTAAGCCAAGAAACACTTATAAATATTTGTGCATTTATTTTACTTGTTTTCCTGTTCTAAGTTGTTTCTTCCGTAAGTCAAGAAACACTTAGAAATATTTCCATATTTTATTCTCACACTTGCATATTTCATTTTTCTATATTTCTGTCCTAAGTTGTTTCTTCCGTAAGTCAAGAAACACTTAGGAACATTTCTCTTGCAATATATTTTTTATACCATTTTGATTTACTTGTTTTTACTAAGTTATTCCTTCCGTAAGTCAAGGAATACTTAGATTATTTTTACCTATCTGTTTTCCATCTTTGCTCTGTTACTTTGTAACTGTTCCTGGGAACCGTTACCTATAACAGATATTTGTCACTGGAACTGTTATTTATAACAGCAGTGGTATTTAACCCTTATACCCGCGGCAAATCAGAGATGGTCAATACCCGTTCCAATTCCGGGGATAAGAAGAAGCCCGAAGAGCCGGCGATGTGTCCTACAGGCCCAAATGCCCCCTCTCGGCAACAGAATAGACCACGTGTCACATCAGGGTTAGTAATGGAGTGTCACGAGTCACTAACTAAGCTTCGGATGGTAAAACTATCATCCTGAAGTGGGTTAAAGGACACAATGGGAATACAGGCAACGGCATTGCTGACCAATTGGCTAGGAAGGCGGCAGCTCTAGTATTCTTAGGACCTGGGGATCTTTTTGGTTGGTCAACTACAACAATCGCGCAAATTGTCAAATGTCACTCCCATAAGGATGTTAACTTGCCAGGGTAACACTAAGTAACCTTGAAGAGTCAGCATAAAAGAAGTACTTGGGAATGACCAGGAAAAACCTGCGCTTGACAATTGGTTTTTTAAGTGGTCATTGTCAACTAAACAAACACCCCCATACACTGGAGCTAGCAGACACACCTCTATATAGGGAGTGTGAAGAAGAAGACGAAACTGTAGAGCATGTCTTTTGTGAATGCCTGGAGTTATCGATAATACGAGAGTACGCGTTCGGTGAGTCCTGGCCCACACCTGCCAGTATTTCAAATAGTTTATTTCAAATATTTTTAATAAAATGTTATAGACAAGTGTCCTGAATATAAATTAAACATTTTTTTTAGAACTATCGCAATAACTAATACAATTAAAAAGAAACTTGATAAGAAAAAATATGGTAACAAAAAAAAAATAAAAAACCAATTTGTTTCCCCTCAACTCCCAACAAAGTAGTCTTTAGTTTAGGTTAGTACAGTGTATGACCTCCACGGTTGTTGATTAGCATCGTACACCTGTATAGCAAACTCATGATTAGATGGTCAATATCTTGCTGCAGTATTCTGCCCCAATGAAAGGCCTTTATATAATTGCTCTCTTGTATTGAACGCAATATTTCGTTGTAAAATGCGTCTGCCCAATACGTTCCATACCTGCTCAATGGGGTAAATCTGACGATTGTGCAGGCGATGGTAAAACCTCAGTTTCATTATCTTCGATGAATATTTGCACGACCCTGGTAGTATGCAGACGCGCATTGTCGTGCATTAATTGAAATTGGGCACCAGCTTGCTAGCAAAGGATACGACAATAGGTTGGAGAATAATAACGAGTTAATTTGTTGCATTTAAAAACCGTTCCAGACAAACAAGATTAGTTCTTCCACCAAGAGTAATGCCACCCCATACCATTATACTGCCGCCTTGCTCTCTATGAACCTCCTGCACGGTTCAGCATTGCCAGATCGTCTATAAGTTCTTGTCCGTTTTGTACTTGGTGCAAATCCAAATCGGGACTCATATGTGAACAAAATAGAGGCCCACTCACGTCTAACCCAATTTACGTGTTCTTGTGCCCATTGAAGTCGATAAGCGCGATTTCCTCTGGATAACACAGGCACTCACACAGGTCTTCGAGCATTGAACCTTACTTCATGCAGTTTATTTTTAATGGTTTGACTACTTACAAATACCTACTGGATCTCTTGCAGCCTCATTTGTGATATTGATTCAATCCTAGTCATCATCACAAATGAGGTTGCATCATCATTGATGCAATTACGATCTCGCCTAGCCTGCAACCATTAAACTTTAAATTATTTTTTATTAAATCGTACCTTAAAGACATTAATAATATTATTTATTAATTATATTAATATGCAGATAGATTATAAGCAAAACTTTAAAAATATAATAAGAAAAGAAACATAGAGTAATGTATTAAAATAATAAAGACCATGACAAAAACTTCCAATTTAATCAGAACTGATATAAACAGTTAGTTATTCGAAATTGCAAATTGAAATTATTTAAATCTGAATATTTTCAGCAACAAGTTAACGTGCTATCTGTGTAAAATATTTTGTATAATTATCACATATACATCGAAGACTAAATAAACTTAATGATGTCTAATTCACCAAACAAATTATGCACCAACTCAACAACAAACTCTATATAATTTAGTATAACAATAAATATAATTGCTTATTCATCCCT